ACTTTCAAGAGGTTTTTGACATTTAGTTTTGCTAAATAATGGACAAAGCCTCGGTACCGGGCAGTTGGCGACAGCGATGTTTCAAGTCGTTCGACAATTAGTTGTAAAATTGTTATCATGAACTTAAGTTATACCTACCTGAATGCATGATGCAATGCAAATAAAGGAAGAACAGTTTCACTTATTTTACAGCCTTCGATATGCTATAAACTTACCCATATTATTCTCATTATATCGGGGTAAATAGCATGTTAGCTATAGCTACTTAACATTGCTGCAATCTCCGATTTACTCTTTTGTTCCAGTACTTTCTGTTCAATAAATATCATCATCATCATCATCATTGCTCAAATTTATAAGGTCATGGCAGCCAGGCATTTTCCATGATTTGGTCAATGCTGTTTCCAGTTTCCAATTACATTAGATGTTTTAATTCCAGTACCTACTACCTTTGTTGCGATTGTCGGTGTCGAACCTAAACTCTGTCTGTTTCTTTACCTGCTATATGTAATTTATCCGAGCCGCTACCTCGGACCACTCCTGCGGCAAACAGGTTACAGCAATCGAGGCCGTCATCTCGCGTGACCGGACAGTGATCTAACCGAGAGGCAAGCCTCGTGAGATTATAAACAGGCGCATTTATCTCCGTCCGGTCCTCTGTCCTGACATGGGTGTGCGGCTCGAGCCAGTGACGTAGGAGAGCGGCCGGCGTGGGCCCGTGGCCAGTGACGTATAGGGGTGACCAGGTGCGCTGGCTAATTATCAAACGGGAGAGGAAGCTGAGCTCCTCTTAGACGGTGGATAGTCGCCCATGATTAGAAGGAATTCGACCAAAGGTGTACCGATACCTGATAGTGGAAACTGTGTGCGTTGTGCGCTTCTCCACAAAATTGACCTGTAGTCGGTGGGCTGGTGATCGACTTCTTCTGAAATGTTTTCATGAAGTAGGGAAACACACTGTGGCAAGTTTAATGCATCCCAAATTTATAATATAATTCTCCGCCATTAAAGTATGTAAAGTGATACTGGTTAGCTCAGGCACATGAACGGCTTCATTGGTTTTCGCTGGGAACTCCCCACAATAACCACCAACAGAGGTGAATGGGTACTAACAATTATATTCTATCTGACTCCCATCTGGTACCATTCAGCGCCTGCCTCACATCTGATATTCGAACAATCGAGCACCAACCAAGCATTTTTGTTGGCTTTCGACTTTCCACAATAATTGCCTTCAATGGTGTGTAAGCGGGGACTATATGAAGTAAAACCTGTTGTACTTGAGAGTGAAATGAAAGTGGATGCTCTTCCGCATCCTGGATGAAAATAGAACATTATTTGGACATGTTTTAATATCTTAATTTATTTAAAAACAAATGTTTTGGCTGAATCGCTTATTGGTTTTCCCACGGAGAAGCCATTAGACCATTATAGGTATGGCGTTAATGTGTATGTGAGTACTGAGTGAGTATGGCCTCTGTCCTTGATCGACTGCCCACCAAGAATTTGTTGATGCAAAATGTCTGGATTTGTTGATGCGAAAGTGCAGCTCTGCCGTCTAACACACGCGTCGCCGCTGGCTCCCGCTACACTGTAAAAAAAACTTACAAGCCCCTCGTAGAGGAATTCTCAGCGCAAAAATAACATTGCAGGAGCGTGTAAATTTGGCTAATTTTAGGCTAGTTGCCGAGTAACAAGCTTGTTCGACAAGGCTGTGCCTCGTATGCATACGACCACCGTGCTCCACCTAGTTTGACAACACGCACGTAAATAGCGTGGGTAGTGCGTCTACTAGGTGTCATAACAGCCCCTGCCTGGTAAGGTAACTAGCCACTGCCTACTAATCGATACCCAGTAATGGTACTAGCCCCCAAGGCTAGTAATGGTACTAGCTCAAGGCCAGTAGTGGCACTAGTTAACTAGTACCACTACTGGCCTTCGGGGTCGAGGCACGGTCGACGGAATTCCGTCGACCAGTGCCCCCGACTCTCGACCGCCACCCGCAAGTAAACAGACTGAGTAGCGCTGCAACACATTTATTCGGGCACGAGAACGAGAACGAGAACAATAACAACGCCAGGACAATAACTATAACTTTAACAACAACAACAACAACAACAACTAACTGAATAATTTTCAATAAGGTTTCTCAAATATAACCACCATCAAACATTTGTGATTTTTTCATTAGCGCTGCACCGGCGGCAGTCGCGGGGTGCAGGTAGGCCAGGACATACATGGCCCCATTCTTCACCAGAGAAGTCTGTAATGGGTGAAAAAAACGAATATTAACATTATTATTATCATAAGGCATACCAATCTGGAAAATGATTAAATTACAGTTGAATAAAGTGATAGATTCCTGCCACAAGCTAGCTTAAGTCCCAAACATATAGCTATTCTGACTTGGATAGACGATACCGGCGCACTTCTGCCAACGACGGGCAACATTATGCGATACTATACATCTTCTAAGAAGCTCAACAACATAATAACCTTTGTTTACAAATGGACAACCTTTTTGTTGAGCACACAGCAAATGATACAAGATGCCTCACCTTCAATCAAGCCAAAGAGCAGTTGGGCAGACACACACAGCAATGGCGACGCAACACAAAATGGACGCCGGCTCCCGGAAGCGGGGGGGGGGGGACTCCTTCTGAAAGCAGCCACAGACTCCTAGGTTTTAACATGCGACGAGGATAGCTATGAGGCACATCCTCATAGCCATCCGAAGCCGCTTACCACGCAAGCTTGCCAGCACGTTTACCAGCTGCAGGCGTTCGTGACAACAAGCGGGGTTGCACGCAAGGTTATCCGTTTAGTAGGTGCCAGCCGGGGCCTCGTCAGCTGAGCTAATAGCGAAATGACCTAATTGAGGGACACGCTAAAAACTGGCCGAGAGCAAGCCAACGGCGGGTAACACTGTGAGGCTGTGCGTAGTTCATTAACACTGCGCAAAATTAGGTTCCTGAACATGTTCTCGCTCGTAGGCATTTGTTCCACAAGCGGCATTGTTAACGTGCATGGCTCTGACTACTAATGTCCATATATGTTGTAACGAGGAGCAAGGGAGGCACTCGTAAAAAATGCCTAATTTCAAAATTAGCTAGTGAATTTTTTTTACAGTGTAGTCTGGCGAGGAAACGTAGTGACACATTCCAGTCTGATATCTCAGAACATACGTAACTCAACACCGAGTGATCTCACGGCCCGAGGTGCACGGTATTGAGTTATTGACACATGACAGGCGTGAAAAATCGGACGTCCAAATGTTTGTTTTAGACGTTCAAACTTACTCGAATGCTAGAAAAGTTGCACTGCGAAGTGCGAAGTATGGGATGAGACAAGCCAGGCGACAGGCACAAGGAAAGCTGAAGTCATCCTCATTTTTCTCATGGATGACTTCAGTCTGGAATGTTCAACACAACACCAACACGAGGGCGGCGAATTCCAACCAAAGATTCCAAACAAAGGAGGGCTGATGACGAGATATCCTTTATCATTTTTCGGCAGTGCTGGACGCTTCGGCAGTGCTCAAAGGACGTTGCCTCGGGTACCGTTAATTAATGGTCATGAGTTTATGGTTTTGGCATGGTTTCTTTGACGTAACAATGCGCTTACGGTTTAAGAAACGGTAGTTTTCCTATTGCACCAGTGTGGAAGTTTAGGCATTTATGGTGAAACATCCGAACTGGATTTTTAACGATGGCACAACGAAATCGCTTGTACTCCCCCATGACCTTTTGTCGTTTGGTAGCGACTGCATCATTGGTAGCCAACACATTGCTCTAATCTTGTCACGTTTACGTTCCCTGTGCTTTCGTTAATGGATTTTCGTTATAAATTTATTCTGAGCAATGATTCTGATTTCTAAACGTTAGGTACTCGTGTGAATCATATTTTACATCCTACAGGTAACATAAGTTGGATAAGGTCCAACAAAGGTCCGATCAAAATTACATCACTTTGCATATTGCGGCAGTCTTCAAAATGTTTATATTTGTTAAACATTAATGTTTCACTTCGCCATTTCCCAACATTACAAAAAAAGTGCATGTGTATGTTCCACAGTCCACACACACACACTCGGACGCCGTTGATTTGACACGGTACAGTGAGTCGGGACAGAGTCAGTGTCAGTCTTCCGATTACCACAGCATTATCTGGGCGCGTTTTCCCATGTGTTCGGCCATCCGCGACCGTGTCTATATGGTCTATGAGCTCGATAGCCGCAGGGGAGGAGCTTTGAACAGGGGTGTGACAGCTGGAGGCTAGCTCGAGTGACCACACCTGTGACGGAGCTGATGAGGAACTCAGGCAGCTTGATAGGAGTGGTAGTGACGATCTCACGTTGTTAGAGGAGGAAGGCTGAAGGCTTATTCTGTTAGTGGGAAAGTAGGAAGAGCTAGTAGAACGTCGGACCGACGTCAGCATGCATAGATACCCATTACCCACACTTAGCTATAGGTATGTGAATACAGAAGGAATAGATTTTCGATTGGTCAGAAAGCATTGTCAACTGGTCACTGTGTCTGCATACCCACTGGATTGGCCGGCTGCTAAGAATAAATGAGAGCCTATTGATATTGAAAAGACTAGATGCGTCTTGTGGAGGCTGAGACGATTGTAGGCATGCTGGTTGCATGCGACCTCAGACACGCTACTTAGCCCTGCATGCCTTAGCCGTGGCTATAAAATCTACGTGCAGGCTCAGCGGCGCTACAGGGAATTAGACAAACCATGCAGACTAGGTCTGACAGCTCATGAACCTGGAAAAGAGAATCTCAATAGTCCAGCCCGCGCCCTAGAAACAGTGCTGGACGTTTCTGCGCGGCCGCGGTGACCCGGTCTGTGGGTTTCCGCCGCCCGTGCCCGGCCTCAGACGGCCCCGTGGGCCCCGTCGGGCCGCCCGCCGCCCGCCGCCCGCCGCGGCGTCCCCGGCGGCCCCTCAAACTGGTCGCGGCGCCGCGCCGCCGCCGCCGCCGATGGAATGCTGCATGGAAGCGGCCGGCGGCCGTCCGACCGGCCCAGTCGACCGCTGAGCGTCCGCCGAGCCGCCGCGCCGCGAGCCGCGAGCCGCCGACCGGCCCGTGACCGCCGCCGCCCCCGCCCCCGCCCAGAGCCGAGGATACGGCAGGACCGATCACGGCACAGTGGACATAGAGAGAGGAAAGGAGGGGAGAGTTTGGTGGTGTCGTGTCCCAGCCTCCGTCCGGATTGGATCGTCGACTCAGGTGGGTTTTCGCTGCGGATAGTGGCATGTCCGGCCGCTGGCGACGAGCGGAGCTGCTCCTCGGCCGCTCGGGTCTGGTCTCGGTGCCTGCCTAAAAACCTGTCCAGTGTCCACTCGGAACGATAAGCAGTGGGAGCCCATGACACCTGGCCCTGCCTATACCTGTGCCGCCTCCGCTCGGATCCGGCGCCACTGCCCTTCCCTCCACTTGGGTCCGGCGCTAGCGGGTTTGTCGGCTGACCGCTATCCGTCCACCCTATATGCCCTCCCCTCCCCTTTGACCGCCCTCCCCTCCCCTCTGACCACCCTGACCGGGCTGGGAAGGTCGCCGCTCCGCGGCCCGGTCGGTCTGCCATGGCCGGTCGGTCGGTCGGCCGCAGGGAGGGCATGCAGCCGGCCGGGCGGGCGCCGGCTCTGACTCACCGGCGCGGCGCCGGCCAGGTAATGGGCCGACCGGCCGACGGTGGCGTGCCGGCCGCCCTGCATGCTAAACATCACGATTTCTGTCGATTGTGGGACGCGCGCGGCCGCGGAGCTCGGAGGGCGAACCGGGGCGCCCCGGGGTGAGCCGGGGTGCCGCGGGTGAGGTGTCTTCCCATCCTGGTTCTCATGTCGAGCGAACGCCGGGGACGGCGCTCAGCGACCTCGGTAGCTGGGTTTTCCTCGGCTGGGTATTGGCGAGAAGGCCGCGCTCGCCGATGTCCTTCAGACACTGAGGGAAACTGCACAGTTAAATAGGGTCGTTTGTCATGTGTGTGAGAGATGTTTTTGTTTTTTGTCTCGGGTTTAAAATGCCTTGTGAAATTTAAAGTTCCGTTTTGATGAGCAGCACCGGTGGCGTCCATAGTTTAGCCGTGCTGACTAAAGTTTGACGGTGTGTTCATACCCCGGTGACAGGCTGGCACGTTTAGTAGGGCTGCTGCTCGGTTCATCATCCCAGCCAGCTGTGGTCGCCGTTCACCTGTCAGCCTCCCTCGCCACCCTGAACCCCGCCATCCGGGTCCGTCCCTTCTGCACCCAGGTCCGCTTTGGTGATAAATGGTCCCCAGTTCAGGCAAACAAACCTTTTTCCAACTCTTTTCGAGGTGTATCAGACTAACTGGTTAAATTTTCTTGCCCCGACCAACAGACCCTTGCCTGTTCCGATAGCCATCAGACCCGCTCGCCCCGTTCTTTACCTGTTCCTTTCCTACGAGCGGTGTGGTTCGGTTCCCTTCACCCGTTCACCGGCTGCCCTCGCGGGGCGCCTCCACCATCGATCATCAGTGGCTGATTGTGTCCTGTCACCGGCGGCGGCGAAACACCGACCGGCGGCGCGTCACATCCTGATCCAGACACGATCCTCGGCCAGCTCCGGTAACGGAGAATTTCCTCGAACGTGACGTAAAACTAAGCACACCTCCGCGCACACTCTCCCCAAGACTGGTCGATGAGATTTTTACGCATATGCGTGAGATGACGTATGAGGTCGGTTCTGCGTGTCAATGAATTGCGCCGCGATTCCCTTATGTGAAGTCGTCGAAACTGGTCATGTGCTGACGTCACGGCTCTAGGGTGGCGTGACGTCACGTATTGGGTTACGTTTGACGTCACGGTCGTTCGAGGCGGACGTGACGTGACTGCCGCTGTGATGTACACGTGACCGGCCCGTGACGCTCTGAAATGGTTCGTGTGGTCCTTGGTGCTCCGTGCTTTACCAGTGATTCGGTTGGTCGGTGATTCCTTGACGCTCCGAGCAGACCGCTCGCGCTGGTCTGTGTTGGTCCGTTCACTGAAAACAATTTCACCCGAAGCTGGCGAATTAAGCGTTGCTCTGCGGGTGGTATATGTGTATTAACTCGCCATGTCCAGATTCTAGCTACAGGGTAAGCAGACTTGCCTGCCTTATTACTCGTAAATATGCACTGTACCCACAGTCTGCAGTAAGGTAGCTAGCCAGCACCGGATATTGTCCCCGCGGGTGTCGAGTCATTGGCACAGCCCTCACTGAAAGAGTTGGAATTACTCGAGGTATCGTAAACGCGTATCCGTGGATGGCGAACCTTTACATAACCTGCCCTGAAGGAGTTGGATCTACTGTTACAACTAGATGGCGTTGTCTCATACAGTTTTGAATTACAACAATTTTTTAACTTTTTTTTGAACCAATGATATGTTGGCACATTGTTTGGCGGTTTTCAAGTGGGGGCGAAAGTACAATTGTTAGGGTGCATCTTTAAAACCTCTGCAATATTCATCACGGGACGATTGGCAACGCTTTTTCTTCCGAAACTACCAAGTGAGACCATTTTGATTCTTATATAGGTCACGAAAGCAGCGGCGACACATCTTCTTGATTTCGGGCGGTCTGCATGACTGCCGGTGACTGAGTCATGTCGAATTTTCTATGGGAATTCGATTAGACCTTTCCCACCGATGTGAAACTTTCTCACCGATGTTTTCTAGGTGTGAGATTGCTATAATATAGATATTTTTCCGCAAATATGGTCAAGCGTGGGAGTTTTTTTGGCCCTCGTGACTTGGTCGGCGAAGGGTAGGCGTGGAGGGTAACCCCATCTCCTAGGGGTTTGTGGGGCGCTGCTGCCAGGTAGGCGTCGATGAATACCTTTCGATGGAGGGGTCGCGAGCCACTGGTGCGCGAATAGTCGTGGAAGGTTACTACTCTCCAGAGTGAATTGCGAAAGTGTTAGGTCCTAAATTGACTCCTGGGAGGGTGGTTAAAAATGGTTGCGGATAGGGGTACCCGCGAGGCACCGGTTTACTCGCCAGTTTTGGGTGAAATTGTTTTCAGTGTTTGATTGGTCTCTGTCCGCAAAGGTTCGTAACGCTCCGCTGGGTCCGTTTGGTCTATCTGGTCCATTTGGTCTGTTCGGTCTGTCTTGGTCCGTTTGGTCTGCGGTCTGGGACCGTCGGCTGGGAGTGGTCGCTGTTGGCCGACCGCTGTGGCCGGCCAGCGGTCACCGCGACCTCGCTGCGAACAGAGTGGCCGCCGAAGGCCGCCCCCGCGCCTCCGCCCCCGCCCCCGCCGCCGCCCAGGTCCACACGCCGACACAATCTCTCGGCGGGCTCCCAGTCGGTGTCAGACAGCGTTTGAAGTAGCAGCGAACTGAGCTGACAGTGGTCTCTGTGTGGTGTGGTAGCGGCTGAAGGAGCTATACTGTGTGATAGCTGCTGTCGGAATTGGTGCGATTTCGAACGGATCGATTCGAGACAAAGACTCGACCATTGGCGACTGTTGTGGACTCTGGAGAAAGGACTCCCGTTAGTGGTGTGATAAGAAGGAACCCGTATCGCGAGGACGATATACAGCGGGTGGACCGTTAAGGCGGTAACGTGCCTCCTTGGACGTCTAGTTAGTGTTTGTGTATAGTGTTTTAGACCGTCGGAGTTCTTCCTTACGGTGTTCCGAGTTTTTTATATTCAAGGAAGAGAAGAGGACAGAGGACCAGTACCTATCGGTATGGAGTGTATATTGTTGATTGAAAGATGCAGCATTCTCGTTTCTCGCTGCCTTATCCATAATAAAAAAGTTTTATTTTGCTTTCTATAGTGATCTCGGGTCATCCTTAACTGTTTCTTTCAAAACTTCAACAGTTCACCAGCATGTTAAATATTCAGTCCTGTATTTTTGTTCTGCATCATTTGTACCTACCTATCTAATTAGGCTCACGTTATTGTGTAGCCCTTTACAAGAAACGCATACCTATTATTTCTAACAGCTGTCGCTGTGTATGCATGCATGCCTACTTCTCCTCAGCTAGCCCATTTATTCAATTGATTGTGTGCTGTTGTTGGCTGTGTTTTCCTCCATGCAATGCTCCTGGCGGATATGGGATTTCCCACAATGCCTTTTCAGGTCAGCGTTACGGATTTACCAGGCGGCAACGGCCATTGGCCCACGATAGTTACTTACCGGATTGGAGCCGGCCTTACAAGACAAATGCACATTCTGACCACTGAGTGGCCAGTCCATCAATCACAAACCCGAATCGTCTCATCACACCACGACCGAGTCTCCTTTCTTGCCATCCTTATCTCCGAAAAGTGGCGTAGAAATGAACGCCGTGACGTTATTCGGCATTCCCACCTGTTTCTGGTGTTAGGAAGTTTTTGTTTTGAGATGAAAGACCAAAACTTGAAGAGAATAGAGATTGGGATATTTCCGTGCATTGTCAGCTGTCAGTGATCTCGCCAATTCTTGATATATTTCGATCTGTTGATTATTGGACATAGCATCTTCATTTAGACGTGTCTTTGCACGAGGTGCAATCAAGCGCTTTTGCTTAATTACATAACCGTTAGGCCTTGAGCCACATATGTCATATGAGTGCAGGTCCGCACTTTGACGCGTCCGCCACCTTTGTGAGCCGTCATTTTACGAATCCAACACGCAGTTCCTGAAGTTATTTTCCACGGATTTGGGATGTTTCCTGAAGGCTTCTGTTGCATCAGCCGGTGCCCTGAATGGCCTGCCTGTTCGGGCTGTGATCATAAACCGTGTCGGGTGCTGTTTGAGGCGGTGAGACGCACCACCACCGGATCTGGCCGTGGGACGAGGTCGGGTCGGGCAGGAGAGATCGATGGTGGTCGACGTTAGCCGTGAGTCAGTCGGCCGGCGACCGACGGCCCTCCGGCGCCACTGACTCACCGCCCCCGCCCCCGCCCCCGCCCCGCCCCCGCCGCCGCCCGGGAGCTCGCGGACCCCTTGCCGGTCGATCCCCTTCTCTACCACCCTCCCCGCCCCTCCCCAACCCTCCCTGACCTGCAACACGCCTGGTCGGTGGCGGTGCCCGAGGCTCCCCGCCGCCCCGCCCCCGCCCCCGCCCAAGCGTCGGTGGTAGCTGCCGCTCACTTGTTGATCGTCGCTAACGTCGGGCGGTCCGTCGGCCGTCCCCGTCGGTGGCCCCGTCGGTTAGGATAGGAAGGTTGGTTAGTTTGACAAGGGGGCTAAACGGCATGGTGGCCGGATCGGTTGAAATTGATCACTTTGTTGGTATTTGGTCACCGGTCCGACAGAAGTTGTTGATCAGTTGCCCAGCTGAGATGACCGTGGTCGGTTGGCAGTGTTTGGGTAGATGGTCGCTTTGTTTGTGATTGTTCGATGGTTCAGGGTTGGTCGGCCTGCCGGCTCTGAAGCTTGTCCACTTTCTGCGTCGATTGCCACGTTAACCGCTTCGCTGCACGGTCGGCGGCTGGAAAGTTGGCCAGTGCGCACCACCCGGCTGCCTGTGAAGCCTCGGGAGTCTGGCTGACCTCGCTTGTGTCGATGGGGTGCGCAGCCCGCTCAGTGAAAACGGGGTTATACTGCGCCGGACTAACAGCGGCGGCCAGAGGCGAATTCGTGAGAACAAGAGCTGAATGGAAGGGGCGGATTAAAGTAAGGGAAGGGAGGCTGAGCAGCGAGTCGAAAATTTAAGACAGATGTTGGTTAATTTAAATACCTAGTCTCGGAAAAGAAGCAGAGGGTATAACGGGTACCTATTTAATCACATTTTTTTAGAGAACTTATTATCTAGCCATGCGTCATTAAACGTCTGGGAATGTGCATTCTGCAATGGAATGTAACAAAATCAATTATTCCGGGAACAAGCCAGCGCTACCGTCTCACCCAACAAAGAGGCCGTTCCTTCGACACAGTCACCGAACGTTCACGTATATACTGATCGCCCCCAGCGGGTGAATCGGCTTATCCGCCCGGCGGGGCCCCATCCGCGGTCCCACGGCCCTGAGTTGGGGTACGGAGGGAGCGGCCCGCCAGATAAGGAGGGTCACCGGCGGATGAGTCGCCACATGAGTCGCTGCCTGAGTCGCTGAGTTGCTGAGTCGCGGCAGGGGTTACAGCAGGATGGCGTGTGACCGAGCTCTGTCACTTCAATCAACAGGTCGCAGGATGGAGCACTGTTATATTTGACAGTCAAGGAGGTTAAGGCGTCGGGGGAGCGGTTCTCTTCGTGAATCTCTGTATGTGGGTATAGGAGTTTGTGTGACTATCTGCTGTGAATTTGCTGATTGATTTTACCAGCCTCAAAAAAGGGAGAGAACAGAGATGATATTAGTTAATGCAGCGAGTCGTTTGCTAGAAAACGTATATATTCTGCAGTTGGATGTTGTTTGCGACATGCACCTTCACCAGTGAAGGGTGGGTTTGTCTCATGAATAATGTTGACTCTGGACAATGTATTCGACCACACTGGATGTTTGCGGTCTGTTTGTACGCCGCACCTTTGTGGGCGGACGGCAAGCAGTGCCTGGCCACGGCACTTGAGAGCTGTCTGCCATATGTTTAATTTCATTCATTTACCCTCATCTCCATTCATTGCGTTTTCCATTTGCCGTTTAGGTCACTTCCGTGCTAAATGTTAGGGCTGCAAATGAGATGCATTTTGCAAGTACGCTACCTGCATTCGTAATGAGATGTGATTAGACAAAGTCCTGCATACTGAGAGGCTACCTCTGTTGAATACAGCCGACAGCATACACAGTACCTACCTGCCTACCTGCGCGTTTTGAAAATAAGGTTCCTCCATAAGCGCTGGTGTAATTTTCTATAGGATTTTATTTGGGATGGGTATTAGAATTAAGGTATCAGCAAAAGGCCATTTCCCTTAGTTTAATTTCAGCAGGCTTTTGGATCGTTTCGTCTCATCTTAGGGACCCAGTATGGGAATGGTTAAAATAATGATATGACATATTTTATAGCTGTTTTTGTTGATATTGGTTACGTGCTCCTGTCTTTGAGGCGGTTTGGCATCGCTCCAGCCGAAATCGCTTCGTGTCGTCGTATATTTCGCCGCAGATTCATGGACTGTTTGGGGAAGTCACGAGGGCCACTTTATCGGCGCTACAGCGCGTTGTCACAGCTGGCGGTCATGAATCGAACAAACACAAATAGGCGGGGGCGACGCTATCGGGTGGTCTTTCACGAGAGATCGGAGAATTGAATTCATGCTGCACTGGTGAAGAGCTTCAGTTAAGTTAACAAGCTGACTTGTTGCCGAACGAAGCTTTTTGCTTGGCGTGGTCCATCATTGCATGGGCCATTTCGTGTCACAGTTTTATAAAAGGAACGGTGACGTCTTCGATTGCGGTCTATGATATTTTAGACTAGTCGACTGTGCTAATGGTGTCTGTTAGCTATGAGTATCACTGATTCTTTGCCTAAAATAGAAAATAAAATTGACTGAGACGTTAGCGCGGGGTTTCCCACACGAACTGTTGTAGTCTTATAATAAGAAAAAAAATGTAATCGAGCACACCCCATGGCCGGATGATCTGGTGTGGATTATCTCACCATTTCGGCCAATTCGAGCCGTCGTTTTGGCGTTCGGCGTTACCCGAACGGCGAACCGTGTGAGCGACTGCCTTATAACGAGCAGTATTAGAGCCAATCGGTTTCCAGTCACCTGCTGGGAACAGCGGCCGATTGACCTTGTCCGCGCCCGGCCGACACCACAGGTTTCCCTACCACCCTCGTCGCCGCCGTCATAAAGGGAGGCGACGGTGACGGCATCGGCGACTTCGACGCCGCAGCGATCGGAGTGTGTCCTTCCCGTCGTATGTGTTGCTATTAGCGCCGGATTGGCCGGCGGCCGCCGTGAAGTGCCGTTTCGACAGGCCGGTTCCCACATAGACACGTCCGCTCCTGAGCTACACCATACCGCCGTGACTCACCGCAGTCGACCTCTTATTTAGGCATGCGAGTCCTATCTCCCTCATAGCTGATGCGCTGTTCGCGGGAACGTTGCGCCAGCGGTGCCTGGCCCCGTATGGCCGGTGCCAGCGGCGGTAGCACCTGTTGTGGCGCTGGTCCGACGGGCCGGCCACCAATCGATGCTCGACACACAGTCACACAGGCACTTCCGGGAAAACGGGCGCTGGCATTCCACGGCGCCGAGCTTGTGATTGAGACGGTCATCCTCCGTGAGCCGCTCCCACTCCTTTTCCGCTCTCGGGCGCCCGCGCCCATCTGAGGGCGCCGGCGGCGGCGGCGGCGGCGTCAGGTGCGCGCGGACCGCCGCCGGCCACCGGCGAGCGACCGCGCCCGCCGCCGCCGCCGCCGCCGCCGCCGGCCCGCTCGGCCGTGCACGCCCGGGCAGAGTGCCGGAGCGGGCAGAGCGCCGGAGCGGCCGGCTCCCAGCGCCTGACCTTGGGCGGCGATGCTGTTCCGCCGACCGGCCGGCCGCGGCGCCGGACCGGCCCGGACCGGCCCGGCCGGCCTCCCATGCACCGCCGCCGCCGCCGCCGCCGCCGCCGCCGAGCGGCCGCCAGTGTCGGGCCCGACCGGCTTCTGTGAGCATCGTCCGCGCGCGCTGCGAACTCGGAGCCGCTCGGCCACGTCCCTCGCCCGACACGGCGAGATCGGAGCTGCGCCGCCGCCTCGGACCTCGTGCACTGTCGGCCAGGTATGCGGCGCGGATTATGCACGAATGTGTACCCGGAGGCCCAGCTGGAATGTGGAGTTCCGAGAACCCCATCGTCAGGGGCTCGTCAGCTCGTCCGCGCGGCTGTCATTCCTAGTCACTAACCGGCGCTTCTGTTGACAGGTTCCCAGCACCAATGGCAGGCGCCGCTCGGTAGCCGCGACTGCAGCGCCGCCTACCGGTGACCTTCCGAGGATGGGCCTGCCGGGCCGACCGTTCCGTGCCTTCGCCGCCGCCGCCGCCGGCCGCGCTGCCGCCCCGACCGTACCACCTCCGCTGGAGCCTCGGACTGCGCCTGAGCCCGTGAGCCGAGCAGTGCTGCGGCCCTCCGCCGCCCAGTGACGTCCAGTGACGCCCAGTGACGTGTGTGACGTGACGCGCCGTGACGCGCCCCGAGGTGACGCCAGGTGACGTGTGTGAGGTGATAACGATGAGCGCGATGGATGTGAACGATTCGTCGTCGGCGATGGAGACAGAGTCGCCGGCCGACAGCCGGCCCGCCGGCGAGACCGCCTTCCGGCCCATGAACCCAGGTCAGTCGGCGGCGACACGGGGTCGATACGGGGTCAGAGGAGCGTGCTTCGGCGGGTGGCGGCGGGGCGATTCCGTGTGTAGGAGGTGTTAAAAGGTATTTACTCTTCGGGGAGTTGTCTCATCCTACGTTGGAGTCGTTGGGTGGTGAGTGGTTAGCGTGAGGGGACTAGTTATGCTTTTGGGATGAATATGATGCGTAAGCGATTACCATTTGCCACGTTTTATCTGTTTGTGAACTTTAATATTTAGCTTGAAACCTCCCACTTCACCAGTAGGCTTATCCTCTCTAATTGCTGATAGTCAGCTACCACGATAGCCGTGTCTCGCGTTCAGCAGTTGTTGCCGAGCTGCGGTGGCCGATCACGCTTCTGGTCCGTGGCAGTTAGCTCGTTACATCACACCTAAAAAGGTGTCCAGTCACTCCTGCCTCCGACTGCCGTCCCTCCGAGCTCTATCACCTGTGGATCGCAGGTGTCCAGTGTCCGCTCCAGCCGCACTAATTCTCGGTTCATCCAGGCGGGACACCGGAGCCCTGTGCAGCTGACTCCTGTCTGGCTGTGCATGTCAGTTTTCAGACCGAACCTCCTTCTTTGTATCGCGTGGAAGGGCTGAAAGTGAAGATTGGACGTCACACGCCGGTCGCGTGATCGCCAGTGACGGCTTTTGGTGGTCACTGAGACGAACCGGGTGTTTCGGCGCTGACACAGTCGCCACAGTCGACACAGTCACAGTCGCCACAGTCACGATAGTCACAGCCGTCAGAGCGAACAGTCACCACAGCCGTAACGGAGGCCACAGAGGCCGCAGTTACAACGGGCACAGTTCCACCGACCGTTGCATTCAGTAACAGCTGCAGCAGCCCCCGTCACAGCCGTTACAGACAAATGGCAGTCACCTGAACGGTCACGCGGAGCTGTCACCACCGCCGCCGCCGTCACCAGTCACTGTCACAGACCCCACTGTCAGAACAGCCGTCATCACCACAACCATCACAACCTCAACCGACACCATAGCCTCGCCCCGACCCCACACCAGGCTCACCACCCTCCCTGCCGCCACCGCCGTCGCTCGCGCCAAGGCTGGTCATGCCTCCCGTTGCATGATCGCGCCGCTATGTCGCAATCGACAGGAATGCGCCGCCGGCGGTGGCGGCGGCGGTCTAAGGCTCACGTCAGCCCGCGCTGACATACAGCAGCCGCTCGCATGTCTGGTGACGACGACCTTCCTCGGTCGAGCGGTCCCCGGAGGTCGGGCCGCCCGTCACTCGCCCCGGAGAGCTGCACAAAGGTGCTGAAGGATACGAGGATTGGATGGGATGAAGTGATCCCCAACGAGACGGGATAATGCGAGACACGAGACGGGTGGAACCAACCCACCGCGGTCACGTCTGGTCAGCAAGATCGCGGTCGAGCCTCGGCAATCGTTTCTGGGAACCCGCTTAGGCAACGACCCGATCTGCCGCTGCCGCACCGCGCTGGTATCGGTCGCCCCCGGCTGGCCGGCCACATTCCACGGGTCATGGGATATGGCCCAACCTGGCGAGCGGACGCGCCGGCGGCTCAGACCCGCTGGTCGAGACCTCGACCGGTTGTTGGACCGTTCGTTCGACAGTTGAGAGTTTGTCCGAATGTTTGCTGGACCGTTTGCTGGTTTGCTCGACAACTTGCTCATTCACTCTTTCGTTCAATTGTTCGTTCGTTCGGGTTTTTCGATTTTTCGCTTTGAAGGAAGGTCGACTGCTCGCTCTTTGCCTTTCGCTCGGTGGCTAGACAATCGCTTAGCCTCACATTCGACTCTTTCTCCTCTTCGCCGGACTTCTACTGTTCGGATAGCCCCGCACATCTATCAGTACTCGCGAACGTTCGCCTTCTCGCTCAAAGGTTCACCCTTCCGTTCGACCTTTCTGTGACGACTGACCGGTCGTCGGACAGGGCTTGGCCCGACCTTGACTCGGTTACACCGGCGCGGCGGTCGGGTCACATCCGCGGGAGAGGCATGTCGCCGGCGGTGCGGCTGACACACCCCGCTGGAACCCAGAGAGCTTCACACCAGAGCAGACCGGCCCGGAAATGCCTCGGCCCTCGGCTCGTTCGTGACCAGCTCGTCTTCTCGCTCCGTTTGGTCGGTCTGGGAGGGTGGTGGGGTGAGCGAGGACGGAAGAGTCGAGCGAAAAGGGTCGAGAGTTTGGGCGAGCGAGGTGATGAGAGCTTGGAAACACCTGAAGTAGGCATGTTTGTTATTTTGTCTCAGTTAATGTAACATATTCAACGCAGCTTTTGAGAGGTGGCGGTGCTGCCCTTGCCTTGGCTCCAAAAGGTTTCCATCCATATGGTAGGTCAAAGTCGCGGACAGCCTTGACGCAGTTCTCAGTTCGCTGGAACCGGACGGGGTCGCCCACGCTCGCAGTTCTGACACCGCCGTGGCAGCGCCCATCGAGCCGCCGCGGATGAATTTCGACAGCGTGCTGCACTTGGGGCGATTTATGGTCCCCGGTGGCGTCCTGCCTGCGTCATATGGAGCGCCGCACCTGCACATACCTGGCCGATATCGCGTGAGTGGCGGGATCGGCCATCTCTGCCGGACTGCCGACCGGTCGGCGGCGCGGCGCAGGCCGAAAAATCGGCCACCAACAGCTGCAAATGCTATAAATTTCAGTTGCTGATGTGTGGTATTAATTGCTGGGTTTGTTAAAAGTCGCTTATCATAGGAAAAGTTCTTGCAGAACAGGGTTGATGTGCAAAAGTGTGTCAACGTTTATGAAGCTGTGTTCGTTTTTGTGGATTGTTTGCTAACGAAACAATGGACTGCTGGATTGAGGCTGACCGGAATTCCAAAAGCGGTTTTATTCACACACTTTTCTGAAATCGTGATGTCCTTCACCGGTTACCAGCCGCTGATGTGAATATGCACCTGGATTGACCGTTTCACCACGAAAAACTGAGAATACCGGAGCGTTCGTTCCCATGTGAAGCGCGGGTGCGTATTATTTAGGCCAGGGTTCATAATGTCCAGGGCACAATGTGTCCAGTGCTCGAATTGGCCAGTGCCTTGAATTGGCCAGTGTTCACATTGTCCAGGGATTACATGGTCCAAAAGTGGCCAACTGGCTGCAGATAGGTAAATTCAAAGAGGCCAGGGTTCATAATGTCCAGGGCACGATGTGTCCAGTGTTCAAAATGGCCAGGGTTCATAATGTCCAGGGCACGATGTGTCCAGTGTTCGAAATGGCCAGGGTTCATAATGTCCAGGGCACGATGTGTCCAGTGTTCAAAATGGCCAGTGCCTTGAATGGGCCAGAGTTCATAGTGTCCAGGGATTACATAGTCAACCCAACCCAACCAAACCTAACCTAACCTAACCTAACCTAACCTAACTTAACCTAACCTAACCTAACCTAAGGTAATGATGTTTGCCTACCAGGGATAAGGAAATAGTTTCTCGCATGAATAGATTGCAAGCAATAGTAAATCAAATATTTTTAGGTTAAGTGGTTATGCATCAGGCTTCAGGCCTTCGGCCTGAAGCCAGATACATAACCACTTAACCTAAAAATATTTGATTTACTATTGCCTGTAATCTCTCCTAAGGCATTGCCTTCGGCACTGCACTGCTTTGCACTTCGGCCTGAAGCCAGATACATAACCACTTAACCTAAAAATATTTGATTTACTATTGCCTGTAATCTCTCCTAAGGCATTGCCTTCGGCACTGCACTGCTTTGCATTGAGCTGATTCCATGTTTTTTACATAATGACGTCACTTTCAGTGACTATGTAATCCCTGGACATTATGAACTCTGGCCCATTCAAGGCACTGGCCATTTTGAACACTGGACACATCGTGCCCTGGACATTATGAACCCTGGCCATTTCGAATACTGGACACATCGTGCCCTGGACATTATGAACCCTGGGCATTTTGAACACTGGACACATCGTGCCCTGGACATTATGAACCCTGGCCTCTTTGAATATACCCTATCTGCAGCCAGTTGGCCACATTTGGACCATGCAATCCCTGGACATTATGAACTCTGGCCCATTCAAGGCACTGGCCATTTTGACACTGGGCATAGCGTACCCTGGACATTATGAACCCTGGCCAGAATGAATGCTCCCCGTGAAGCGCCATGTCATCGCGACCTGACGAACAAGAGCTCCACAGCGGTATCCCGCCTACCCGGTACTCTGACCTCTGACCCCGCGTCTGACCTGACACGACCCCGGAAATCGGCCGATCGGCGGGCGGGCAGTCACGTGGCGTGTCACGCTCCTCACCCCCCCCCCCCCTCCCCGACTCCACCCCTGGCGACTCGACGACAACGCCCCTGGGATGAGCTGTTGCAGCTCGCCCACGCGGCAGGCTCGGAGCTCAGCAGTCCGTGAGTCATCCAATGTGTACCAAAGGCCGAAGCCACAGCGCCGAAAGGTCACGTGCCGGGAACCGTTTGTTTGTTTTCGACTGCTGAAATATTCACGAGCCCTACTTTGTCTGCGGCGCCGGCCATCACGGGCTATCAGATGTGTGCGATGCGTTTTGGAGGCGTGGGTCTGTAGGTAATCGAGTATGAAGCGGTCGGTGACACGTTAATTACATGCCCCACGCACAGAGCAGCAGCCGGCACGCAACCGGAGTGACTTTCGTTTTGAACACGTGCGAGTAACGAGTGACAATTTGCGGTAAGCCGCAACAGCACATTTAATTTGCTGGTTGCTAATAGGTTCAATATGTTTTCCGTTCCCTCAAAACTCACGAAATGACAGAAAGGCATGCAGTTGCCTTTCTGTTACGGTTGCGGAAAGGCTTTCCATATACCAAATGTGGTCAACGCAAACATAAGCAATTGACAGGGGAGCTTGCATTGATATCTCGGGATGAAATGCATCTAAAAGTACGCAATAGCCAAAAACAGTGAAGATCTATACGTACCAAACATTTTTTCTTGCATCATTTTAGAAATTAGACGTCTTCCTGCTGCTTCTTGCTCCTTTTAACCAAGGTTCTGAATCTGGACTTTTGTTTTGTTAAAAATGTGTCAATGTATTATATCTGTCGTGTGCTGCGGATAGTTTATTCACATATAGTCCGCCCCTAGCGGGGCTTTTCGTCTGTGTATGTTTGCTGTGGAAGCGGGGAACCGTTACGAAGATGACCCAGAGCCGCACAACGAATTCCAGACGTGCCTGCTTCGTTGGAGGTAAACACCTCAGGAATCCATCCTTTCTGTGTTTACCGTTCCGAGCGAGACTCTAAGCCCGAGGTGGAGGCGAAAGGACGAAGGTGAACGCCTACAGCGGTATCGGTCACCTGCGAATAAGATTGGGATAGCTTGGCTTGCTAGCTTTTTTCAGGTTGTTCGAATTACCATTGGCTGCTTAAGTTTCAATTATCAATCATTCAACTGGGTATTGTGACGGATGATCCGTTTTATAGGTAGGTACCAATGCGGGCAAGATCGGTTCCGCCAACACGTGACATCTCTCTGATGTCGGACGTTTTGTTCGTTGCGTAGGTATTGCGTAAACACTTGCCGATAACCTTGGACATTTCGCTATCACAAAGAGTCTTTTGAGCATTGTTTTAACAGCCCTATTTCACATGGGCGCTATCTTTGCTTGCTGAGAGGCATTCGGTCGACCTGAAGGCGCCGTGAGCCGTCTTCCTCTGACCGGCTGAGCGTGATTAAGCCGTTCCTGGGACCAGGCCGGCCGGCCGGACTCGCCCGCATTCTAGACCAATGTCGAGCGGCACTCCCTTTACCCAAGTGTGGGAGGGGGGGGGGGGGAGTGGATACATTTTTCGGTGCGTGCTGTTGACTTGTGTCAAGGTGGTTCCCAGAAGTAGAAAAACAAAGTGCCGTTTAAGTCGGAGACAATGACGTGTCTAGTGGACCGGTGCTTGTCATGGTGAGGCAGCCTTTTCGTAATCGCTCTAGTCTGCTGCCTGCAGTCGCTGAAATAAATGTAGATGTCTTTTGGTCATTAACTTTTTAAGACGTTTATAAACGGGTTTATCCCCACGCTGTAAAGTGACTTCTCTGACTGAACGTGACAGTTTCTATATGAATAGGTATTTGTGAGTCATACCACCATTAGGTATCTACCATCGCCTGATTATCTTCTTTCCTCTTTCTTTCTCATGCACATATATGTACTGGACAACATACCCACACAGGACAATCCATCAGTCACCGCTTACTTCTGTCCTAAAACCGAGCCCACTCCCCACTATATACCCACCGCATTGGCGGCTGTCTCGATGTCTCGGCGGCGGCGGCGACTGGCGGCGCTTCGACCGACACCTGGCCCTATTATTAGTGGCCAGCGAACAGTGAACTCTGCCGCAAATTATCCCAGGCGGATGCGCTAATGGCCAAACTGACCTTGTCGCTGTTCATGTAATACCCATCGCCCGTGTGTTCTGTAGCTGACCGATTCAATTTTGTTAGTTTGGTTTGAGTGATTTGAATAGGTAGATTTGCGTCGCTTGACCATTGCAAAGCAGAAGTTATTGTTCAGGTGGCCGTGGAACGCCGGTGAATTTCATGAGATTATGGCAAGAAAGAAATATCTGCTTCTGCTTATTCCATCTGGACGACTGGTCCAACCCAGGGCACTAAAGAGTTCTAAAGAGCCTGGGTCCAACCCAGGCATGCTAGCTTGTCGTCAAGCGCGGCCCTTGAGGGCTTCCGTGCAGACCTGAGACCTCTGTCCACGGCTCCACTTGCATTACCTACATAGAGGGCCTCTATAGACCGATAGAGTCGAGCCAATGCCCTCCGTACCTGTACGGCTGTGCGGCCCCGCACTGTATCGTTTAAACTCGGAATATACCTACTGCGGGGTCTTCATTGCTCTGCTGAATGAAGTCATGTCCATTTGGGGCCGCAGTACATGAGGAGCCTGCTCAGCTATTCACAGACACGACTCAGATGACGGGCGCTGAACCCAGTTGAGACGGAAGCACCGGAGCTGGGTTACGTCATTCTATACATCTATGCAGTGGCTTTCATGATGAGGGGTAGGCGAGGCTGAGACAGCCAGAGCTGACATGGGAATTGGGTCGCGTATGGATTGCTCTCTGCACCCATTTCTCGGCCAGCCCGGACGTGGCGCTTTAATTTGCCATTCGGCCTTGTGAATATCGTGAAAACATCGGTCAGCCAAGGACGTTGCAAGAGTAATCATGGCTTAAAACAGATATATGGAAAACCGAGTACCGTAATGTCTCGACCGCGGACAGCAGCTCAGGGCTGGTGGTGCTGCTTTTCTCACCGGGCTGCAACATGGTGACATAGTTAGTGTCCAGATCTTCTTACGAGTATGCTTGCATTTTTTGTTTCTTCATAAGCGCTGTGATGTTGCCAAATTGCTTGTTTCGCGTCACACTTAGCACTTCGCTATTCTCGTCTGTTCGTTTTTAGACGGTCTGAATCCGGCTCGTAGGTTGTCACGAACTTAACCGTTTTAAGTGTCTGTTGTTGAGATCACGTCCGCTGAAGCTGTTTCCCTTGGACTTGTGTTTCACGTGTCTGCGGGCTTACCAAAATTATCTTAAGTCCTGACGACAGAACTAGTGCATTAGTCTACTCGAAAGAAGCTTCCCATGCCGTCGCCTCACGACGCGAGATACAAATGATAGAATCTAGCTACACTTAATTGGAGCGTGCAGTGTTCATTTTATAACTAGGAAGCTTCTAAGGATCACGCCATCCTTTTCCATTCTCTATAACCCAAGCAGTTTCTGTGAAAAGGGATTGGGTTTGGTCACGAATTTTATGAACATAAATATCTACCTACTGATAATAAGCCAGTGATTCATGAAAAAAATGTTGCTCTCAGGATTGGCATGTGCTATTTCACCAGCTCGGTGAAAGTTTCAGCAGCTGCGGGCCTGCGGCTGTATCTCAGTGCACAGTTTGTCTGTATTTCGCTCTGACTTCTGTCTAACGTGGTGGTGTGTTTCGTTTCAGCCATGGGCTGGCCCCTGGGAGCTGCTGTGTTGAACCGGCCCATGTGGCAGCCGGACTTGGCGAACGCCCAGCTGGAGGCTGCCATCAACCAGACCCACAGACTGGTGAGTAGAGTGGGTCCTCAGACTGACTCACTGACTGCACTGATGAGACTGACTCGTCAGACTGACTTACATGCTGGTGAAAGGACGGAGTCAGCGCCGTCCAGAGACCGGTCGAAATCGGAACTCGTCCTGTTTCGCATAGTGCTTTTTACTCTGATTTAAAGACTGCTTCATAACATTGGAGCCTGTTACGCCTTGTGCACGCGCTCAGGGAACGTCACGGATGTCTCGAGGTGGCTGTGAAGGAGCTCTGTCGATGAGTCAGTCGATCTCACAATCACAAGGCCCTGTCAGTCACTGTGCTACCAGTGCCGGCTGCTCCCGCGACCGGTCCTCCACAAAAATGCCTCGTGGCTTGCAGCATTGCTTCCAAACCAGCTTCGGCGCTGCTGGAACGCCATTGGACGGCACATTTTTGGTAATAGACACCCCATATTCGGCCTTGGCCGGTGACCATATTTGTTGGGTGCGCAGGCGTCTGCAGCACGTGGTTTGGCGAGAACCATAGTAGATGTTTGTAATCTGGGGAGGCGTTACCGCACGCTATTAAAGGGACCCTCCTAGATTTGAGTTGAGATAGCCAAAATGGGGTCCCTGGCTCACAATTACCGGTTTCGGCACTCACAACATCGAGAAATGCCTTAAATCGGAAATATTGAATTTCAAAATTGCAGCATTTTGATTCAGAGGGGCTAATGCTTAGGAATACCCCTCTGAATGTGTGACGTCAGCGCAAATATCTAACGATTTTTAAATGTTTGACTAAAACGTTTTGTAGCACGCGGTGGTATATGCTATTTGCGCGCAACATTTGCCGCAAACGCCGCTTTTCTAAAATAAAGTCGCTAGAAACAGCGGAGATCCCAAAAAAGTAAACAAAAGTAAAAGTCTAATATCTTGGAAACCGGTGAATATTTTTCGGTGAAATTTGGTAGATATTCGTTTTCGCTCTTTCTGAACCGAGCGACATCACTTTCATGCCAATTCATAAACTTTTTTGAAGGTGGGAGGGTCCCTTTAATATTTCTCGATAGACCCAGCACTTTCTTCCATCGACACTACTGAGTTTCGGTTTTAGTGATGTTTTAACCACTAAGCGCATTAGGATCGGTAAAACGCCTCCGCTCGTCTTTTTTATTTTATTTGCACTGGTGTGGATTCTGAAGCCGCAAAGTGAGCTGACTCGGAACGTTGGCCTTATATGATAGCTGGCTTTACCGGGTGCGGTTCGGTGCGTTGGCCTTATATGATAGCTCACTCTGGCGGGTATGGCTCGCTTGGCTGGCCGGGGCACAGCCGTGAACGGTTCGGGGTCTGCCTCCGTGACTGGTGGCCGGGCCGTGACGAACGGTGGAACGGGCGCCACACGAGGCCTCACCGCCACCGCCCACCGTCACAGCCCTTCGCCAACCGCTCACCGCCCACCGTCCACCATCCACCGTCCACCGCCCACCGTCCACCGTCCACCGCCCACCGACCACCGTCCACCATCCATGCCGACCACCGACCACCGTCCACCGTCCACCGACCACCGACCACCGTCCAGTGTCCACCGACCACCGACCACCGACCACCGACCACCGTCCACCGTCCACCGTCCACCGTCCACCGCCCACCGCCACAGCCCTTCGCCAACCGCCCACCGACTACCGCCCACCGACCACCGTTCAGTGTCCACCGACCACCGACCACCGTCAACGTCAAAATCGCCGTCATGATTATTGCTAACAGCATAAGCAGTGTTATGTTTTGACTTTTGAGCATTATTTCAACGCTGCAGTTTAGAACTTGCGAGCTCTGTGGGTCCACAGCGCGATGGTAGGCTGTCAGTATTGCGGCTGGTGCTGTCCAAACGCGCACCGCCTCTTTCAGCCACATTGCGTGCTGTTGCACCGCGCCGCTGCGCCGGGCGCGGCTCCACGCCGAGCCGGCCGCCGCGCTGGACGGCCCAGCGCGCCCGGTCACGTGACTGACCTTGGCGGGCGTGTGTCTGACCTTGCCGGTGTCCCCGCCCCACCCCTCCCCCCGCCCCCGTCGGAGAGCGGTCGCTGGGTTGCGCAAGCTCGCAGGAACCCGGCTGAACAATCGAACAGCCGCCGACGAGGCAGCGTCGGTGGCGGCGACCACGTGGTCGACGGGTCGACGATCCCGGCGCGCGCGCTACTCCTCTGACGCCGCTCGCTCCGCCCGCTCTCCCCGCACACCTCTCTGTGTCCCTCTGTCACTCGTTGGTTCGGTTGGTCCCCGGCAGTGTTCTTCTGGATTGTCAGAACGCTCGGCATGGTGAGTCGTTGTTTCGTGTATCTATCTACTGATGCGTTATTTTGGTTGTTTTCTCCTTGGTTTTCTCTGCTCTCTCAGTGTCTCTTGGCTGATTGCTCCTCTCTTCATTTGTCTCGCTCTATCTCTTCCTCCCTCTTTCTTTTCTCTCTCTCTCTCTCTCTCTCTCTCTCTCTCTCTCTCTCTCTCTCTCTCTCTCTCTCCCTCTCTCTCAAAGTCCCCTTCTGCTTCGTGGGCCATCCTGCGGGTCGTGCTTTTCATGCACAGGGGACAGAGGTCGCGGCAGGTCATTTATCAGCCGTGGCTGGTGACACCTCCGTTGACTGGGAGTGGTGACTGGTGACGAAGCTGTGGTGACTGGTGACAGCGCTGGTGTGACGGTGGTGACGGCGCCGGAGCGGGACGTGTTGTGACCGCTCGCCGTCCGACCATTAGTCAGAGGCCATGAGGAAACACCGCCCGCCGCCCGGCTGGGGTGGGGTGGGAACTGGGAACACACGGAGATGAGCTGGTGGCTGACTGGCGGAACGAACCGTGAAGTCTAAACCCGTCAAACGGTGAACTGAAAACGACAGGAACATCGGACTTGTCCGCACTCCAATTAGCATTTATTCCAACTTTTAGAGTGCTTCTGGGCGAATGCGGAATTTATACGTTTAATGGGTTCGCTACTGTTGAGCGTGAATTAAATGATACCTTTTACAGACAAAGCATTTGTAAGTGCGGGGCGTGAGTGCCTACTTAGGACGTTGGGTGGCGTGAACCGGTGGCTGGAGTAAAGTACGAGCGTACCCTCCCTTGTGCGCGGACAATGGTCACGATAGCGGTAGCACTGAGTGATCGAGGGAGCCGACAGAGGAGGTCCACTGAAGTGTTTTGCCGTTCGGTGCATGTGACCGTAAGTGTCGTTACGCTAGGTCGAGCTCGTGCGTTTTTTGCTCTGTGGGAGGTATGGATTTGGAGCATCTGCGTATTTTTCTGCATTGCATTTCGCAGTCCTGTGGGAAATCTTGTATGCTGGATAGTACCGTAGCCACCATCGTACTGCTCCTCCAGTCTGGAAATGCGTCAGAAAGCACGTCTTGCTACTATATGTAACCAAGCGCCCATTGTTACCCGGCGTTTCTTGTCGCTACCACCCACTCGTCATCCGGAAACTCGGAATATTATGACTTTACATAGAACAACCCCGTATTACACGCCGAAACAATTTTGATTGAGCTAACGCATGGTCTTTCCGCAACCAACCATTGTACATCCGTCGCCATTGATAATCGGAGTCCCTGTATCACGTCGCTTCGCTCCCGTACTCCGCAGTTGAAGTTCAGTGTTCGGCGGTACAGTATAACTTCAGGCGTTCGACACTAGTGCCATCTAGGAACGAAAACTGTGTTTCGCGGCGTCCGACTGGTAGATAGATGGAGGGACGATTCTGGATCGATTTGTTTTGTGCGAAATTGACAATTGTTATGCATTGCCATTATAATCAGCAGAATAAAAGACACTCGAAGTAAACTGAATGTCACTTTCGTCTTCAAAGCTTTTATTTTGAATGTTTGTTTCGGGAGTGCCAATGCGTGATGACTCGTGAATTGAGCGCAGTCTGTCATGGACCGCAAGGCTCTGCGCCGATCTGTACATTGAGCACGCCTTCATTACTCATCATAGCGATACGTGGCTGCCCCTGAGCTTGTTTGTTGCAACGACACAAAGTGTCACCGTCGCTGTCTGTACGTCATATTTATCGCAGCTGTGACGTCAGGCGCGTCCGCCACTCGTGGCTAGTTTGTTTGATTAACTGATGGCTGCTTCTCAGCCAAAGGAGCCGTGAAATCGGCCCATGTATCTTTCTCGCTTTGTCGTGTCTTGGGTGTCCTCATTGAGGCTTTTGGACGATTATTGGTGGTCTGTTTTGTTTATTACGCCATTAATGGTGTGTTTTAAATCGTTTATGTATGATTACCGGGCGTTTCGGGTGGATTTTCCGCGGTGGCGTCCGCCGCTGGCCGCGCGGCTGCCGCCGGCTGCACACCAGGATCTATACCGCTGCCGTCACCGGGTTTCGCCAGTGCTCCGCTGCAGGAATTGTCCCGTTTCCTACACCGGGGAGCATGAGTCAAATACTAACGTTCCCAATATTGACAGCGATGTTGTCAAGATATGATTACATTTACCGGATATGTGACTTAATTTGTGACCGTTACATTGTGTACAAATTACCGGTGTGACGTTGACGCTAAATCTATCGAACGCACATCATGCGTTTTTGTATCGCTGCTGCAGGATAGTGTTGATGGCATTGCATCCATTCGCCGTAAAGTTTTATAAGATCCATAAATAATTAAAACGCATTTTTAGCTTTTCGCCTTTCATAATGTTTTGCTGAGTTTCAGAACGGAGTCGGAATGTATAGGTTATAATGACCGTAAAATCTACCTTTACAGAAGTAGGTATATCGGTACCTACTCGGCTGCGACACAGTCTGAGCAAGTACTCACTGAGGCGAGCACGGTGAAAATACAACGACATGTCCGTCAGCATATTTGGACAAAACACTGCGGCGACATTCCGAGGCGATTATTATCGCGTAGATAAACTTTAAAACCATATTTGGCCAACTGCGACGCTCACGGAAAAATTGCGATGTACAGAATGGACAGGCCTGCTAAGTTTCCACAGTTGCGCACAGTTTACATAGTTTCTTTTTGGGATTGCCATTT